TAACTACGAGAGAACGTCAGAGCAAAAGAAGCGCCTTCATTGTTTATTGATACTTCCCAGCTTAGCGCTCAAGCTGTGATTATTGTATCTTTTTTTTGTCGAGCTGCAGCAACATTAAAAATTAAGGAACTGGCTAAAAGTGAAAACTAAAATAATTGTTCGAATGTGCGAAGTTCTAATGAGTGTCGGCGATTTTCAATTTCACCTACTCTTTATATGAACAATTTCGCAGGAGACACTCCGTTTAAAGATAGATCTGATGACTGATAAATGAGCATGGTTATCACTTAGCGTGAATTTTTTAATCGTCTGGAAAGTAAAAAAAAAAATTAACCCACGGACAAGGAGATTTATTTCACTTCATTACGACAAGGAATTTGATTGAATATAGTGGACGACTCTCGTGCAGAGAATTATTACTATAACGACTGCAATTTTAAGCTTTTTCTATCTATGGAGCTGGTTTTAGGCATAAAATTGCTGATAAAATGAAACAACCTCAATGCATGAAGGTATTGACTTCGCTTTTCGCGAGATTTTTACCAGCGAAATTTTGCTACTTTTAAATGTTTAGCTTGTAAGGACGAATTTCAATTGCATGCATAGGCGTAGGGTATCAGACGGTGGGTGAAAGTTGAACAATCTTAGGAACTTTGTGAGGCATATATTGACATTATTTTATCTCCAAGGGTCTCTAATGATAGTTACTTATGCCCACTGCTGTAGAATAGTGTTCGTTGTTCACCTTTGTTACTGTGAAGTGGCTAAGGTTTCGCACCGTTCAAGTTTAATTTGAACCGGTTTACACGGAAGACTAGTTTCTCTCACAGTGAGTGCCAAAAGAACTTTCCTATGCAAGCATGGTGAGATTTGACCGTATAACAATTCTGATCGAGGAGTTTTTTCATAAAACTCAGTTTCTGACAGTCTCTGTGACGGTTCTTTGACGGCACGAGAGGTTGTGCGATTTATTTGTTTGTAGGGGTATGTATAATGAAAGTGAGGGGGAAACGTAGATTTTCAGCTTGTTTCGATTGAACTGTGCAGGACAATTTCGCGGTGGAAGATCAGTTAGGAAGTTTTGGGAAATGTACGACAGACATCTCTGAGGGTATCTATAGCAAGAAATATTACATGCTATTTCAGGTACTTCATTTACTAGCGCGCGCGGTAAGATATTATGGAGGAGGGGGGCTTAAATATTGTGATTGATAAGCTTGGTGGATTAGGTAGAGAATTCGCAGGATTAAATTCAGCTACCTAATAGAAAGAAATCTTCGCGAGACGGATGTATCCCAATCTTCGTTTTTTCTTCCTTTACTTTTTTTAAATTAATAATTTAGCGACAGAATATGCCCAGTCGCAAGGACTCATGAGCTCTGACTTCGTTCACTTGAGTATTATGTTACGGCTCATAACGCGTATTGCCGGTTATGTTGTTCCGATGTTGAAACTTCGGACGAAGTCAAACCTCTTGAAGCTTATCACTATACTCACTAGGAGTGGAATAATGCCAGACTGACTATTGAAGTGCTCACATTTTTAACTATTCACAAGTTTGCGATTTTTCCGTTTTTTCTAGCAACCCGGCTTTCTTTGTGGCCCTGCCTCAACGACCACTTTCATTTCATCATCATGCACCCACCATTTCTTCAAGGTTGAAAACATTCAAGTGATTCAGCACGTTTTTTATACATTTTCAGAGTTCAGAGTGTTTTCAATACAGGGTGATCCAACCGAACGGTACACTAGTCTACACCCCGAGAACAGCTCAAAACTGAGGTTGTAACTTTCACGGGGGTAGATCGATCCCAAAGAAACCAATGAAGTATTTTCAGCCCTCCTAAACAAATCACTAAAATAAATTAATAAACCAAAAAAAGTTCTTAACACTTTCGGAGTGCATTCTTTGGTAGTAACCATCGAACACAGTTTGTTAGATCATATGAGAGTGTTTTTTTTTACAGAAAATTTTTTTCATTTTTATTTAAAAAAAAAAAATTTGGAGATAAAGAGCCAACACGCGTTGTGCAGTGATTATCCACAAGTCATCGGTTGAAAATGAAGTTCATGTAAAAACCTGCATGTATCTCGGGGTTTATGAGGAATTTTCATTGAAAAACGTGGGTCAAAATAAAAATTAAAGGGAGTGAATATTTTAAAACACCGATGACGCATCAATCCATAATTGAATTAGGGATTGCTTTCAAATTAATCCCAGCACGCGATATCAAAAACAATCATGAACAGAATGTATTGAGAACGAATACCTACACGAAATAAAAACAGTTTATTTCGACTTTCATCAATGCAGTTCTGGCACCTACCACGAAAGATAGCGTGCTGACAAAAGGCCGGAGGCGGATCCAGCAATTTGACAACACCGGATTGCCTCCGTTTAAACCTATGCTAAATAATCGATTCTTGTCGGAGCACCTGGCCCCTCCAAGAATCGATACATTTCCATAAGTTTAAATGGAAAAAAGACAATGTTGCCAATTTGTTGGATTACTTGATTGAGTCCATGCTCAGTGGCTGACATGATGTAATTTGATACGACAGTTATTGTTTCTCAACTAAGCCAAAATAAACGGAACCAACTGCGTTCTACAGAGAGAGAATGCCCAGTAAGCTGCGACGGAGTTTTTAAACGAAAGTTTGATTTAGGGTAACGACGTAGAAAAAAATTTGACCTGAAATACTGGATCGTTTTCTGACTGAAAGTTGCGTGTAATGATTTTTCTTTTTAATCGGTTTTCATGAGATCACAAAGATGTCACTTGAAATTACTGGCGGCTCCAATTTTTTTTAAAGACAATTCGAGAAACTAACTTCATACTCTTTACGACCTAACCTTCAATTTTTCAACTTCCTGGAATATATTTTTTTAAGGGATTGCGTATCATTGACCTCCAATCATAATGTCTTAACCGTTTTTTTCCCCCTCCACCTCGCTCGTTGAGAAGGGTTATATTTGTCAGCTTATTTCATCAAATGCCTGGTGCCTCCTCCCAGTACCAATTGGTGCAAAGTTCTATTACCACTCAGCATTTTCATAATTGTGATGTTTAATCGTTTCATTAATAAAATCTCCGTGCGTGATAGAGCGTAATACTTGAAAGTTAAGTTTATCTTATCTTGGGAATGCTCTCATCGTTGCGGAAAGAGCGACAGAGGCCAGGTTTAAATGTTTGTCCGATCCAAAGTTTGTCCAACCTCCAACGGTCGACCGCTGAAAATGCTATTTTAAAAGTCTTTTACATCTGCTGCATTGCCAGATTGCTATCGATCTTCAATTCTCAAACTTCCGTACGTATATGTATGGGCGCAGTTCGCGAATTTATATTAAACATAGAATTTGCACCACGGTGCGGTGTCCGGAATTCTTGACGCTACTTCTCGGAAAATTTCCTGTTAAAAATTTTGGATTTTCTCTCTTTCTCTAGCTCTCTTGTAGGAGGAAAATAAATTCTATTGCGGCTCCAAGGGGGAAAAATACATTTATTATACTTTTTCTAATACCTAAAGCTGAATAATTGCAGACCACCTCCATGTACTGTGAAAAACATACGAACAAGTAGTGGAGAAAAAAAAAATCCGGTTTGTACAACACTAAGGTCCTGGAATATTCCCTGAATATCTCAAATATTTTTCGTTCCCTAGTAAATCCCGATTTTCCAAGGCCCGGAACACCCAGAATTGAACCTGTTCTAAATCTTGGGGATTATTTTTTAGAACTGGGATCTAAGAGATCTACTTGGCTTGTGAGATTCAATGTGACTTCGGTGCTACCAAGTACAGCTCGAATTTGAAGAAAATTGTTAAATCTTGGATGCAAATTCGGTCGTTCCAAACTTGTTTTCTCTTTTTTATGGGGGTTTAGCTTTTTGGTGTATCCTTGGCTAAAGAGTGAAGGTGCGGGCATCATTACAAATTGCTTAGTGCCATGCAACACTGAAATCTGGCACCAGAGCAGCTTTGCACTGGGATGCAAAAAGTGCAAAAGATTAACATTTGTTTACTTCCTAGAAAGGGGATGCGCCAGCAATGCGCTGGCGTTGGTCATTAACTGCACTCACAGAAAAATGAGATAGAGATGAGCTTTTCAAACAATTTCCTGATGTCACGAGATTCTCGCGATTATTGCAGCAAAACAAAAAATCCACATTTTCCAGCCATTTAAAGCAAATATTATAGTGAGCCACGCTTTTTATTGGAGAGCAGATATTTACTTCAACGGATCATCATTAATACTTTGTCTATCACACTAAACAGAGAAGGAATTAAAGCACCGAGAACGCAAGAATTTCAATTCAAGTGCTTATGAAAATGACAAACTAATGCAATTAAAATGTTAGGATTGAGTGAAAAAAAATTAGTAGTTAGGGTTTTTTTATTATGATTATTTTTACGAAATACGAACTTTTAAGGTTGGTACATTGAGCTAAAATTGGATGGATTTTACAAGAACTTGCCTAACTGTTTCAGACGTTGCCCAATTTTGAAGGCACGAAAGTGCGAAGCTCCAGTTTTCAGGGGAGGAAAGACAAAATGACGACGGTCGGCTGACAAAGACTTAGATAATTTATCTTAAATGAATATGGTGCTCACCATGTTAAATAAAAAAAACAGCAATATTAACGTTAGGTTTCCATCAACATTATAAACAGTTTCACACAATCAGTAGGAAACGTAAGAAGAGAAGATTGCTGTATCACAGATCTAGATTTTTGCTTTCATTCCTTCTAAGTAAGTTTTGTTGCCCGCATATTCAGAGGGCATTCATGAGTCGAAGAGTTTTATTCAGAAATAATCATGGTTTGCGTAAAAACTTGAAAATTGACGCTGAATGACTCACAGGAGGGGGAGGGGGTGGATGAACGCATACGTCATGAAGTAAAGTCAGAACGAAAAAAAATGTATGGTAAAATAGAGAAAGTTTAATTGCCTGGTCAAGGATTAGCGGACTGGATTTCCAAAGAGGAGGAACTATTTCATACCTTGGGTTTCTTGAAATCACCGTGCAAAATTCAGCTAGTAACAGTAACTCAAACACACCTGAAACATACAAATAAATCGGTTTATAGTGATTTGAGTTTGCATATTACACACATTTTTGACAAGTTAATTTTATTTACAACTCTTTAACAACTCTTAACCTCTCGAAATTAAAAAATAAGAGACATCTAAAGTGTGAACGCGATACAACTTTTCGCGCAAGATGGATGTTCACAGTGCATATGAAAAATAATGTAAGACGCGATGGGGTGAGTTGTGAACTCGCAAGGCTCTGCTCTATATGCTACTAGTTTGAAGAACCATTACGAATGAGACAAACTGAAACAAACACAATATGGAAATAAAGCGAGGGGAAGGGTGCGCGTTAACGACGGCGCAGAGATATAACTATTCGTACTTGATGGACGTCCGTGCTGCATCTGAGAAATTGAAGGCGCGATGACGCGAAGCGTGAGCTCTCAATGCTAAATGCTGTCAATGAGGTGTCGTTCAGATTCGGGAGAAAAGTTAAAAAAGAGGCCCGAACACATCTTTCCTACCTTCGGCTGTGTTACTCACGTAGTGCTTGAAGCACCATTACGAATAAGGCAAACGGAAACAAACACAATATGAAATAGAAGGAGGGAAAGGATGCGCGTTTGCGACGGCGCAGAGATACAACTATTCGTACTTGATGGACGTCCGTGCTGCATCTGAAAAATTGAGGGCGCGATGACGCGAAGCGTGAGCACTCAATGCTCTGCTATATGCTGTCAATAAGGTGTCGTTCAGATTCGGGAGAAAAGTTAAAAAAGAGGCCCGAATACATCTTTCCTGTCTTCGGCTGTGTTGATACTCGTTCCGTCTTCTTTTTTCAGGTTCTTGTCGGATTCTTTTTTAGGATGGATTTTCAGACCCACGTCTTAAGCTCGTGTAAACCGCAGCACTGGCTCGGTTCTTCTGGAAATAATGGTGCTCGGATGCGTCTGGTGGCTTTAATTTTGTATGCTTTCTTTAATTTCAGAAGTCGGTCGGTTACTTCAATACGTTCAATTTTGCAATTTATACTCTGTGCGATTAATAAATTTTGAACCTGAAAATAGCGTGAACTTGTGCTGCTTTGCCAAAATTTTCTGAACCCCTCTCCACGAAGGGTAAATCAGGAAATATCACATTACGCCCCTTTAACCAGCCAAGGGTCTGCGCCCTCAGATGCGAGCCAGTCCAACCCTGGTTACAAATAACTTTTCTCCTCCTACCACTCCTCAAATTCATAAAAATGCTTCACTAAAAGAGCCCTATGCCGCCGCCGTGCTGAGAGAGATGCCGCATGAGCATTCCAATTTTGTCACATACTCAAATAAATTGAAAATAAGGTCTCTGAATCCACAAATCTCCTAGAAAAGTAAATACTCAGAAGAGATTCGGTGAAGTCCTAACGTCCATACGACGTTTCTCCTCGACGCGCCATTATCACATGCAACTCAACTACTTTACTAACATGCTGAGGAAAAACATAGGTAATGTAATGACAAACAAAGCGTTGTCAAATTTCCTTTAATAGGATACAAGTATTCTAGAAGATTATACATTTTTCTCCTTGAGTAGTCGTATTTTCTTCGGAGGCAACACTCGCAACATGTTGTGAAAACAAGCAGCAATCGCATTTTGATCAAAGCTGTTTTGTGTGGTGGGGGCGGGGCTTATTTTCGCGCGCAAAATTTGGGAACCCCTACAGCAACATTGTCGCACAAGAACTGCAACGTGCTCAAAGCGAGTCGTTTATATGTTGTTCGAAAAAGCAACACTGTTTTCTAACCTAAAATTGGCAGTTATGCTCTTTCATTGGTTGTTCAGAATCGCGGAAAAAAAAAAAAAAAAAAAAAAAAAAAAAAAAAAAAAAACACCAAAAATAAAGCGGAAACATTTTGTTGTTTCGAACAAACACGACTAGTGTTGCACAGAATATTCTTCGCAATTCAATCTAAAGTATCCAAAAATATCAAGAAAATAATATAAAACATAGAGAAAAATAATAATAATATTAAGTCGAGGGAAATTTAGCAACGTTCGATTGCTGATGCGGCTATTCTGCTCAGCACGGAAATATAAAAGACATAGCATCCTTAAAATGATGTCCTCTCTATTCTCTGACCTATTGATGAGGCCACGTTTTGTCCTCGCTTCCTCGAATCGTGGCAACAATGGACCGCGCACGGGCATCCTAATGAGGCGCGAAATTGTGGCCTCTCGTGGCCGAAACACTGGCTTTGTTGTCCACTGTTTGCCAGGCTCCTTGACACTCCGCTAATAATGGCTAATAATGGCATAATGGCACAAACACAGCCATCATCCGCGGACAACCGGGGCCGACGTCGCGGAAAACTATTCATTAGACGGTGGAATATCAGCCGAACGGATCGATGGGTTATTTTCGAAAGGGAAGCCGTTCACTTGAACGGCTTCCTGCCTTTGATTCTCGTGGCCAATTTGGGGACAATCCGGCCATTTCTGCCTCCAACGCGACACGACGCCAACGCTGCCGTGCTAAGGAAAAACGCCGTATGAACATTCGAGGGTTGCCGAATTTCCTTTGATAAAATGTTTATTTTTAAGGAAAATCATGAATATTTTTCCTTGAAATTTTCAGGAAATTTAGATCAAAATACAAAGAATATTCCCTGAAAAATTAGAAGAAAAATATTTTTAGATTACCAGGAAACTCGTATTTTATCGAAGAAAATTTGGCAATGCCTGTTGGCTTGTACGGCGTTTTTCCTTAGCACGGCAGTGCGACTACACTGAAGAACGCCGCATGCACATTCGAGAGTTGCCAAATTTCGCGAGATAAAACATGTGCATTTGACGAAATTCATGCACATTTTCCCTTGAAATTTTCAGACAGTTTAAATTAAAGTGCGTACGAAATTGTCTGAAAATGATGGGAAAAATATTCAAAAATTTCCCAGTAAATTCGGTATTTATCGAAGGAAACTTGGCAACGCCTGAAGGCTCACGCGGCGTTTTTCCTTAGCACGTCAGTGCAACCCTGCAGTCCTATGGAAAAACGCCTTATGAACATTCGAATGTTTCCAAATTTACTCTCAGAAAATCATTATTTTTGAGGATACTTATTCATATTTTTCATTGAAACTTTCAGACGCTATAGATCAAATTACGAACGAAATTCCCTGAAAATTTGAAGGGAAGATATGTACAAATTTTTCAGAAAATTCGAGATTTGTCAAATGAGGTTTGGCAACGTCTGAAGGCTCATACGGCGTTCTTACTTAGCAAGGCAGAACAGAGCTTGGTAGTTCGTCTGGACTCGAGTCTACTGACGTACTACTATTAGAAAGGATTAGAAAGGATGGCGATGACGGGATCTATCATAGGAACCTAATTCGAAGTTTAATACCAATCAAACGACTCACGGTCAGTTGGACCGAGCTTTGCTGTTCGTATGACCGAAGTTCCGATTCTTACGGCCGAACTTCCGGTTCAAACTATATAACTTCGGGTTTGTGTGGTCGTGGCCGAAATTCCGGTTCGCAAGACCAACCTTCCGATTCGTATGACCAAACTTAGTTCGACATGACAACAAACTCTTGGTGCGGTATGCTTGATCGAAATTTTAAACTTAATTGACCTAAAAAAGAGGTATGGACGCATTTAGTTTATTTCGATTACAGTTCTTGGTTGTTATCTTATCTTGATAGGTTGTGATAATTCACTCTTGACTGAGTCGATTCATTCAGGGCGCTAGAGCCCTTTTGTAACTGACATTTTCAATAGTGCTTTCCATACGAACCGATTCAATCATACCCCAGATTTTCTATCACCGCACAGAGACCGATTTGGAACGCGGAAACATCGGTGGTTGGGCCGCTAAGGGGGGGGGGGGGGAGGGGGCTTATTATGGGGTTATCGGTCATTTTTCCCACCACAAACTTCAAAAGCGTCCGATTTAAAAGGCTGCCGAAAAGGGAAGTCTAGCCGAAAGCGAGGCGGAGAGCCCATCGTCTGATTGGAGATCAAGGTCTGTCGCGGCGCCGGGCCGTTCACCGCGTTTCCCTCGCGGGGCGTCGCGGCGCGACACCGCGACCTCTGAAGACCCAGAAATTGGCGCCAATTTAGATTTAGGCCCGAAATTCGAGCGGGGCTTCGACGCGGGAAATCAGGGGGGCACCGTCAATTGAGCGGGGCCGCGCCGCCCGATTTGAGCGGGAAAATCCCTTCTCTCGGATACCTGGTTCGAAGGGATCCGTAAATCCGGCAGCGTTGTTCCAGCCGCGCTGAACTTCGAACAAGTTTCAGCTGTCTGGAAAATTCCCTCACACGAAAGCGTCTAATTTTACTCCGTTTTGCCGAGCAGCAGCTGCGCTTCTTTAGATGTCGGCTTGCACTTAATAAGAGAGTGCACTCGGCCGCTGAACTAAATATTTCCAGCAAAATCTCCACTCCCGATATGGAGTTACTCTCTATACGACTGAACTCAATATTTCCAGCAAAATCTCCACTCCCGATATGGAGTTACTCTATATACGACTGAACTCAATATTTCTAGCAAAATCTCCACTCCCGATATGGGGTTACTCGATGTACGACTGAACTCAATATTTCCAGCAAAATCTCCACCCGATATGGAGTTACTCTATACTCTATATACGACTGGACTCAGTATTTTGAGCAAATGGAGTTATGGAGTCGATATGGAGTTCCTCTATCTACCATGGGTGGTGAGAGAGAGGGTGGAGAGGGACGAGAGTCTAAAATTTAGAATTTGAATGTGACATAAATGCTTGGATATAGCGCCAAGCGAACCCTAGGAGAAAACAATTCCAAGATAGAAAATGCGGGCTGAGTGTTGAGTGGCACCCCCTACTTTTACGAGTCCTCTCTGATTGGCCAATTTGCCTGGCCACTTGCTGAGGCCCTTATAGGAAGTAACGCGTGGTTCATTTTTCATCGAAAATATCTCGAAAACAAGGAGACATCTACGCACCGGAGATTTCAGAAATAAATTTTCCAGATTTTTCTTAAGTGATTGATGGATAATA